CTAAATGCTGCTATATACTTTGGCTTTTAATTGAAGGAGATTATTCAAGGCATTTTTTATCATAAATATCTTGAATAATCCCATTTAATTTTTTATAAGGGATTATTCAAGGCATTTTTTTGGCTAAAAATGCCTTGAATAACCCTATTCAATTTTTTGTAAGGGATTATTTAAGGCATTTTCTGATCAAAAACACCTTGAATAATCCCCTCAAAAAAAATGAGACGGGATTATTAAAGGTACTTTTGACAGAAAATATCATGAACAATCATCAAAAAATGGAAAAAAATTTTTTAGGGCATTTTTTTTATAAAAAATGCCTTCAATAACCCATTCAATTTTTTGTAAGGGATTATTCAAGGTATTTTCTGATAAAAAATGCTTTGAATAATCCTAAAAAAAAATTATAAGGGATTATTGAAGGTATTTTTAGCTAGAAACGCTTTGAATAACCCCATTAAATTTTTTTGTAAGAGATTACTCAATGCGTTTTCTAGCCAAAAATGCTTTGAATAATCCTCAAAAAAATTAAAGTTATTCAAGGCATTTTTTGTTAGAAACGCCTTAAATAACCATATTCTTTTTTTTTTTTTGGATTATTGGATGCGTTTTCTAGCTAAAATGCCTTGAATAATCCTCTTTAATTTTTAATTAAGAGGATTATTAAAGGTATTTTTGATAAAAAATGCCTTCAGTAATCATACTTTTTGCTGTTAAATTTCTTTTAAATTTCAAACCTATAACACCCCATTTCTGTTTTGTTTTCCTTACTCATTTATTTCATTTTTACCCATTTTAGGTCACTTTCTTTTCATTTTTTGTCTAAATTTCCATCATTTTGTGGTCAATTTTCATCTTCTTTCCTTTTGTTTTTGCAAATTTTAAGTTAGCATTCTTGCATTTTAGGTGAAATCTTTAAACTTCATGTCTAATTTGTTAGGTCAAATTCCTAAACTTTTTGTTTGATTTGTTGCGTTTTTACCGTCGTTCAAGCTCTAGTGTCAAGCTCCATTTCAACATTGGTAATTTTTAATGTTTGGCCATTCTTTTTTTTTTTTTATCAATTTATTTCATTATTGCAGTTTTGAGTTTGGTTTTGTTTGGTTGGTGAAAAAATTCAAGATAGAACAGAAAGTGAAAGAAATAAAGTTTTTCTCAAAAAAACTTGAAATTGAACGTTGAATTTAGTTACAAACACTAAATGAAACTTTAGGTTTAGTTTTTTTTTCAACAAAATATTTTTGAAATTACTAAAAAATTATTATTTGTTAACATGAATTTGTTGATTCATTCAAGATATCCATAGGAAACCATTCTAAAATAGTCTATTATGTTTTTTTTCATCTCATATTCGCATTTGTTTTGTTTGTTTTTTCAAATTATGATATTTGATGAAACGACTTAATCTTACTTGAAAGGATTCATTGTGCATGAAAACCATCAACAACAGAAGATAGAGAACCAAAAAAAGACATCTATAGTCATTTGTGAATACTGCAAGGTAAAGTATTCGCCACATACTTAATCTTCCTTTGTTACATTATTGGTTTCTATATGTATGAATATTATATTTAAATTTGTATAATTTTTTTTATTGATGTTATCTCTATTCATTTTAGACTTTTGGTTAATGTACTAAAATAATTTAAATGTTATTGTATGTATTAAACTTTGCGCTCCATCCATATTGGAACAAATTATGTATTTATAATATTTATTTTTATGAATTTAAGTTCATTTTTATTTTTTTACTATTTTTTATTTAATGATAACAATCAATATTAAAAGTTAATTAAAAAAATAAATTTCTTAATTTAGCAGTATTTGTGCCTAAAAACACTGGTAAATGTCAAAATGTAGCAGCATTTTCTATTATAAATACTGGTAAATTTAATGACGTTTTCTACTATAAACATCGTAAAATTTAGCGATATTTTATGATAAAAACATCACTAAGTTAGTGGTGTTTTTTTAAAATTTTGCTATTTTCCTCGACATAGGTATAAACAGCACTTTTAGCAATATTTTTGACAAACGCCACTAATTTTTTAGTGGGGTTTACAAACACCGCTAAATTTGAAAAAAAAAAAAAAAGGTCACTAAAAACTTAATCCCCTGTAATGTATTGAAATATAAAATGGTGTAAATTTAATGTTAGTTTAAGTGAGAAAATAAAATTTTATTTGGAACTTACATATTAAGAAGTTGAAAGGGACCTTAAGTAAAAGCAAGATATTCTGAATTTATATGTATATTCTAAATTTAAACTTTATCATTTTCCTATACAGCATGCTTATTAGAGTTCCTTTCTGTTTTTAGCATGTTTCATTTTCATTGGTCAACAATGACAACTTGGTTCTTTTATACATTCAACTAGCATAAGGCATATAATTCTTTTCTATATGGAAGCTTCTTGATGTAATTATAAATATTTGACCTTTTTGTCAGACGATCATATAGTTCCTTCTAAGATGTTAAAGATATGATTATGAGTATTTATAAATTTAGAAATTTTGTCTCCATATGCTTTTATTGACATTTTGATTGCACACCCATGTCGTAATGACAATTTTTTATTTTCATTCAGGTAAGGTATTTCACAAATGTCATTAACGAATTATGCATAATGTTACATACTTTAAATTATTCATTTTACATACACTACAGGATATTAGGTTTTTAGTGGCCTTTTTTTTCATGTTTAGCGGCATTAATAAATGCCCCTAAAAGATTAGAGGCATTTGCTAAAAATGTTGCTAAAAATGTCACCTATATTTGCATCTGAAAAAATAATGACGTTTTTAAAAAAACGCTGTTAACTTAGCAGTGTTTTTATCATAAAACGTTGCTAAATTTAGCGATGTTTAGAGTAGAGAACACGACTAAATTTAGTGACATTTATAATAGAAAGTGCTGCTACATTTTGGCATTTAACAACGTTTTTAGCACGAATGCCGCTAAATTAAGTTTTTTTTTTTAATTTTCTTTTAATATTGATTACTATCATTAAATAAAAATATTAAAAGAAATAAAAATGAACTTAACTTCATAAAATATTATAAATACATAATTTGTTCTAATATGGATGCAACACAAAGTTTAATACATGCAATAACATTCATATTATTTTAATATATTAACCAAAAATCTAAAAGGAACAAAGATAACATCAACAAAAAATTTATACAAATTTTAATCCAATATTCATACATCTAAAAACCTATAGTGTAATAGAGGAAGATTAAGTATGTGGCAAATACTTTACCTTGCAGTATTCATAAATGACTATAAATGTCTTTTTTTAATTCTTTATCTTCTGTTGTTAACGGTTTTCATACAAAACGAATCTTTTCAAGCAAGACATGTCGTTTCATCAAACATCATAACCTGAAAAAATAAACAAAACAAATGCCAAGATGAGAAGAAAAAAAAACATAATAGACTATTACAAAATGTTTCCTAAAAAAACATAATCCTTTATTTTTTTTTTAAGATTATTCAATGCATTTTTTTTACCAAAAAACACCTTGAATAATCCCTTATAAAAAATTAAATAGGGTTATTTAAGATATTTTTGACAAAAAATACCTTAAATAATCTCATTCAATTAAAAGTCAAAGTATATAGCGGTATTTAGGTCAATAAACACCATAAAAATATTTTTTTAATGGTGTTTTTAAATCCTAATGCTACTATTCAAGAATTTAGTGGTATTTTATAAAAAAACACTGTTAACATTATAAAAACACGAAACTTTGTGACGTTTATTTAAAAACACCGCTAAAAAACAGTCACTAAATCTCTATTTTTATGTAGTGATATTAACATAATTAAAAGAGATAAAAACACATGCTTTAAAAAGTTTTTGGTCAATATTAAATTTTTAACAAATTTTTTTTAAATGAGATAAAGACACATGGTTATTTTTTTTAGACTAATTAGATTACAAATAGATCATATTTGTTGTTGGAGAAGTTGCAAAAAAAAAAAATCCTTTTGGTCAGGCAACTTTTAATTGCTTTCCATTTTTTTCCAATATGTAATTGCTTTGAAATGGACATGAAGGAAAATGATAAATTTAGTGTGCTAGCTTAGATATGGTGTATAGGAAGTTTATTTCTAACTTTTATATCAACAAATAAGTTGGTCAACAGAGTGAGATTTGCGAAGCTTTCAATCTCTGTTTTAAAGGTATGTTTGTATTAGATACTTTTCATCCTATAGTATTGCTTTACAATGTATTTAGTTGATTAAGCTAAGAAATAAATTATCCTGTAATTTGCTTATCTTAAGCTGCAAGTACATAGAACTAAAATTTTGAAAATTATGCAGGAGTTCTGATGATAAAGAAGCTGCATTAATCTTCTTGAAACATAATATGAGTATCTTCCACAAGTTAACTTTGTTGTTTGTGTATTATACAAAACTAAAACTGTTAAAACAATATAAATTAATTACAAATACACCAATTTTTGATCAACTGACGTTTATTTGAGATGCAAATGAATATTGGTTTTGATCGTTTCTTTTGGTTTTGGTTCTTTATCAAGATTATTAGTGTTTCTTTAAATTATTATTATAATATATAGTTTATACCTTAAATTTTGATGTAAGAGTATTGATAATCCTTAAGAATTTGTTTTCTAAGTTGATTTTTCTTGCTTTCAGATTTTAATTTTGTTTTTAATCTTTGTTCAAAAGGAATTGAGATAAGCGATTTAGCTTATTTTGACTTTTTTTACTATTTAATTTCATTTTCATCAAGTAATCAACTATCAAAATAAATAAATGTTAAAATGATATTGATTTTTTTAATTATTAATAATTTATGATCCGCGGCAATGCGCGGGTAAGATGCTAGTGGCATTTAAATTTGGTTGGACAAAGCAACCAACAATGACATCACCACCAACTTTTTTATTAAAAAATATGCAAAATGATGATGTCATTCAAAGATTTTATGTAATAAAGAAGAAAAAGAAAGAGGCCTTTGTCTTTTCCATTCTCCATAATTTTTATAGCCAAGAAGACAGGAGAGCTGGGAGACTTTATTACAGGCAAAGTGATATGGGAAGAAGGTATTGGTATAACGATGTCCTACCATGCACCGCCACGGTCGCAGTAGAGTGCTCCAACGTTGTCATTAACATTCTATTCAAAGCTGCTTCTTCAAAGGGGTTAAGCTACTACACCTTCCTTGCCTATTGTTACGCTTTAGCCACCATTGTTCTCATCCCTGTAACCTTCTTCTTAATCAGGTCTTCCCTTTCCTTCTTCTGGTGATCATCTGAAATCAGATGCATATATATTTTGCTCTAAAATGTATTTTTTATTTATTTTGTGTATGCAGCAAATCAGGGTTTCCTCCATTTAAGTTCCCTCTCATCTCTAGACTTTGCCTTCTTGGTTTTGTTGGGTATGGAAATGGAACCATACTGAACATCAACCTGTAATTTTTGGTTTCTAAATTGGATTCACTCTTTTCATATAGTGTCAAATAAAAAAAAAGATAATATACCAAGACTGTGTTTATGTTTTGGAGACAGGTTTTCAAGTCAATTATCTGTATATAAAGGTTTGGAACTAGGCACCCCAATTCTTTCCTCTGCCATCAGCAACCTCATACCAGCTTTTACCTTCATACTTGCTGTCTTCTTCAGGTTTCTTCCTTCATACTTGATTGACTAATTCATAATGGTGAAACAATACTCATGATCTGTCGTTGACTAAAATGTTTCTGTTGATTACTTATGCCTTTCTTAATTTTTTCATCAACGGCACATGATGAATTTCGGTAAAATAAAGTAAAGGAAAATAAGAATCCAAAGCTCAACTAAATTGATTCATGCAGCCATCCATGAAAGGTTATATCTAACAATCATAGGTTGAATCCAATATGAGAACTCATTCTTTATCTCTAGACTACGCCTCACTTTTATATAAAAAAAGTGAAAAATCCACAATAAAAAGAAAGTTGGTATAAAATGTTTAACTTTTAATTTTAGTAACAAAATTCAAATCTTAACTACCATAAATACAGAAAAATATGTATATTCCCAACAATGATAACACTAAAATCAGAATTTCTTTTTTTAAATTCGAAAGGGAAATGGATGACTATTTGGCAAGCATATAAGAAGTGGAAAATTTTATGCAACAATTTCTGTTGTTTCATGTCTAAGGTAATATCCAAGATTCAAATAGCAGTTTAATAGTGGAATAGCGGCCGTAAAGTTGCAGTAGCGCCACCACCCGCCATCACTATTGGACAAAATGCGGTTGAAAAATTCATTCACAACAAAAACGAAGTGTAACGGTTGCAAAATAACGGCGTAACTGAGAATTTTCGTTTTCCTACTCACGGATCTAATACTTCAAAAAAAAATAAAATTTCAAGTTTTCAACTCTGTAGAATAAAACAATAAGCTTGCAAAAGTAAAGTAAAAGTAAAAGCAAAAAATAAAACTCAGAAGTTCATACCTTTAGCATCAAAATTAATCTAAAAACGAGATAGAAAACAGACGAATTATTTCAAGTTTCAACCATTCAATCGGTGCTTCGACACTCAAATTCAAATCAGCCTCAAGTTTTTAATCAACATTAAAGATCAAATAAGGTAAGAAAAGAAAGTTAAATTACCTTTTTTTTTGTAAATTTTTTGTAAAATGATGTCTGTTGTGAGAGTTTGAGAGAGACAAACGAGGTATTTCATAGATACTAGGCAAGTGATAGTGATGAAGGGATGCAAGAGAAAATGAAAGATGAAAAAGAAAAGAGAAGAAGAAAATTCTAGAAAGCCAAGCTTTGGACGCACGAAGAAGATGAATAGAAGATAGCAAGCTGCGTTTCTAGATGGTTCTGCTAGAATTAAACAAATTGAGGGACATTGGGGCACGTGGGGAGAGATTGGGTGTGGTGGGAGGTTGGGGGGTTGGGGGTTGAATTTTTTATTTAATTTTGTAATTAATTTTTGAAATTTTTTTAGATAAAATTTAATTAGAGGTTTTGAAAATTTATAATTAAAAAAAATAAGAGATTAATAATTTAATATAGTATATATAGAGATTTTAGATGAAAATTTTTGATAAATTTTTTTTGTATAAGTTAGATGAAAAATAATTAAAATTAAATATTATATTTTGATTGTGTTATATATTAATTTATAATTTTGTATCAAAATTTTAATATTTTTTATCGTTTTGATATTTATATTGTTGTCAATTCTTTTTATATTAGATTAATTCTTGTTATTTTTGTGTAATTATTGAAGATTGTATTTATTATATAATTGTTGAAAGTTATTTGTGATAAAAAAAAATTTATATCAATTAGTGTATCAAAAAGATTAAGTTATTTAATAAATTTAGCATTTTATGATCTATTACTCTTACTAAGATTAAAAACTAAAAAATAAAAAATTTAGGTTTGAAAATTTTTAATTTTTGAAATTTTTTTAGATAAAATCTAATTAGAGGGATTGAAGATTTATAGTTAAAAAAATTAAGGGATTAATAATTTAATATGATATATATAGAGATTTTAGATGAAAATTTTTTATAAATTTTTTTTTGTATAAGTTAGACGAAAATTAATTAAAATTAAATATTATATTTTGATTGTGTTATATATTAATTTATAATTTTGTATATGAAATTTAATAATTTTTTTGTTGTTTTGATATTTATATTGTTGTCAATTCTTTTGATATTAGATTAATTTTTGTTATTTTTGTGTAATTATTGAAGATTGTATTTATTATATAATTATTGAAAGTTATTTATGATAAAATAATTTATATCTATTAGTGTATCAAAAAGATTAAGTTATTTAATGATATTCTTAAGATTAAAAACTAAAAATTAAAAACTTTAGTGTAAAATCAATTTTTAATGATGTAATAAGTAATATTAATATTTTTAAATATAAGTTTATTTTGTTTTTATACAAAATAGCAAGTATACCACCACGTGAAGAGTTTCCAAATAAAGGAGTAGAGGGCACGCCAAGTGATGATATAAGTTGACATTTTGAAACACCTGTGCGAAATACAAGAGAAAATGTTTCATGTAAACTTTGTGGTAAAGTTGTAAAATGAGGAATAACACGTTTCAAAGAACACATTGTTTATAAAACTGGCAATGTTGCACCATGCCCCAACATTACTGGTATGTTATGTTTTTATAATTCTTTTGAAAATATTATTATTAATTTCTTAATAAAAATTATAAAATTACATAAGCATGTGCAACTAATTTTCTCTTTTTTTAACTATATTATTAATAGGTATAGTAAGAGAAAGTATGATGAAACTTCTTCAAGATAGCAAATTAAAAAAAGCTGACAACAAAATGAGAAAAAATGAATTTTTATCACAGTTAATAGGGAAATATGATTATGAAGGATTTATTGATGAAGACATTGCTACTAAATAAGTCATGCGAGATAGTATCTAATCACAACATAAGTGACACAGAAGACAAGAATTCAGATAAAGAATTAGTGGTTGGAGCAACATATATGAAAAGGGATGAAGCTCTCATAGCTTAATTGCTGAATATTTTGAAGACAGAACAAGGAAATCAACTCCAAATGAGTCTGAATTTTCATTAAGGGTAGCTATACCTAAATTGATTATAAGTAAAAGTTCAAGGCAACCAAAAGTAAGTGATTCATTTTTAAAAACATTAAAAAAAAAAGGTGGGTGAATCAATATTAAAATTTTTTATATATGATCGACTCTCTTTTTAGTTAGCAGATTCTCCATGGTTGCATAATTTGATTTCTATGGCAGCAGAAGTTGGCCAATATGTAAAACTTCTCACACCTTATGAGGTATCAGATATGTATTTAAAAATTAGAGAAAAATACATTGTTTAATTAGTTACTGATAACGAGGCAGCACTTAAAGTTGTAGGAAAAAGACTAATGGAAAAGAGAAAATATTTATATTGGACAGCATGTTCAGCTCATTGTTTGGACTTGTGCCTTAAATATATTAGGAAGAAAAAAAATGTGGCAAAGGTTTTGGATGATGCAAAGAAAGTGACTTGTTTTATATACAATCACATTTGGACTGTTAATTTGATGAAGCAATATATACAAGGGAAGCAAATACTTTATCCTGCTCTTACCCGATTTGCCACTTATTTCATACAGTTAGAAGAAATAATGAGGCAAAAGCAAGTTTGAGAGAGATGTTCAATTCAAAGGTTAGTACTTAATAATTAGTACAACTATTTAAATCTAGCATCTTTTTATGATATCATTGTTTAAAATATTAATTTAAAATATATTACTCTAAAACTTTATTAATGAATACATAGGAGTTTAAAGATTCAAAATAAGGACAACAAAAATTAGGACCTACTTATGAAGCCAAAAAAATCATTTTGAGAAAAGATTTTTGGAAAAAAGTAGGCGATATAATAAAAGTTTATGAGCCTTTGGTAAAAGTGTTGCACCTTGTGGATGGTGATGAAAAACCAACAATGGGCTTTATTTACGAGGCTGTGGATAGAGCTAAACAAGTAATTCAGCAAAATTATCGTTATTCTGTTGAATATGAAAAGATTATTGATAATAGATGGAGTTTCATGCACTTTGACTTACATTTAGCTGGTAAGTAAACCAAGAATATAGATGGTATTTAAAAAATATGTTTATTTTTTATACTTAAATTGCTTATATATTTATTTTTTATTACTTTAATATAATATTGTTATGAATTATGTTTAGGTTACTATCTAAATCCATAATTTCAATTTGGAGTGGAACATTCTACAAATGTATTTAAAGAAACATTAAAGGTATAAAAGCAGTTATCGAAAGATTAGAACCTTTGATAGATACTCAAATCAGAATAATTAATCAAGTTAGTATTTAATACTATTTTATAACTTTAACATTTATTTTATGTATTAAAAATTGAATTATTTTTTATTTATTTATTTATTATTGTATTTTCAATTGATGTAGTTATTATTATTTCGAGACAAGCATGAAACATTTGGTACTCCACAAGCACAAAGAGTTTAGAAGCAAATGAATCTAGGTAAATAGTAAATTAAATAATTATAATTTATTTATATTATTTAATTGTATAGCACATTCAAATTTAATCTAAATAATTTTATACAGCTGAGTGGTGAATGATATATGGCACTTGTGTTCCTGAATTACAAAAACTAGCAATCAAAGTGCTTAGTCAAACAACATCTGCATCAAATTGTGAACATAATTGGAGCACATTTAGCTATATTCACACCAAAGCAAGAAATAGATTGAAGTTTGAAAGACTTCAGAAACTTGTATATACCTATTATAACATGAGGCTAAGGATGAGACATCAGAAAAGAATGAGCATTGATGAGATAAATAATAGTTTTAATCCTATTAGCCTTGACCATATTTTTGAAGATGATAATCCACTAACAAAATTGCTGCAAGAGAAAGAAAATCCTTTGTTAGATGGTGAAAACTTTGATTGGTTACCCACAGATAATTCTGATAATGAAATGAATGTGGAACAATCACGCCAATCTCAAGAAAGGAATATGTCTCATTCAAGTTCAAGTCCAACACCAAGTCAGAGTGATGATGGTGGTGGTTTAAGTCCAGATGATGATGATGGTGGTGATGGATATGGTGATGGTGATGGTGATGGTGCGAATTTGGGTGATAATATGGATGTAAATCAACCTTACAGCCCATTTGGAAGAGAATTTGGGCTTGCTGCTATTGGTGAACTTTTCATTAATATAGCAGAATACGGAGTACATCCATTTGTTGAATCTAGTGAGGGTCAAAATGTATGTACAGTTCAATCAAAAGGAAAAACCAAGAAATACCACTATGATATTTCTAGACGTTCTTCATCTTCAGGTGGGAGACCAAATTCTAGTAACTTTGAGTATAGTGAATCATCTGCTAGTACTTAAGAACATTACTATCCACCAGAACAACTTAATTTTCAACCTCATCATGGTTATCCACCTCTATATGGTTATTATCCACCTTAAATGTATCCTCCACCTCAAATATATCATTTACCACAAATGTATCTCCCACCACAAATGTATCCCCCACCACAAATGTATCATCCTCAAATATATCCTCCACCCCAAATGTATCAAGAACAAAAGCCTTAGGGATAGAGATGTAGTCAACTTGGCTCTCAAAGTGAAGATAGAGAATTTGATCCTCCTCGTCATTCTACTAGGTGGTAAATTTTGAAATATATATCAATAATTGTAGTTGATGAAATTTAAAATTATTATATTTTTAAGTTTGTAATTTTATTAAATATAGATGCTTGGTATTTAACATATTATGTTTTGTTAATATTTGATTTATCTAGAATTAATATTGAATATGAATTTGGCCAAGAAAAATTTTGTGGATAAACCAAATATGAATGCTTTTTATAATCTAAATAAAATTATGAATAATTTTTTTAGAAAATAAAAAACATAGTGTCATAAACTATTCTTAAAATCATTGAATAAGAGTTTTTATAATTATAATTATAATTATTACATTTTATAATAAATTATGCAAAAAAAAATTCACGACCGCGATGACTGCAGTGACTGCAATTATCTCCGTTATATCCAAAAACGCAATAAACGCAACGCGACAGAAAACGTGACCGCGACCGCTATTTAAATCCCTGGTAGTATTCTTAGTCCAGTAATTCTTTTCTCTCATCTTTGAATGCCAATGCCATAACCAGGATGGAAAAGGTAGAATTGGGAAGCTCAAGCACTCAAGCTAAAATCATTGGCACCGTAGCATCAATATCTGGTGCATCTGTGGTTGTTCTTTACAAAGGTCCCAGAGTTCTTTCCTCTCCACGTTGGGCCTCATCATCGGTATTAATTCAACAGCCTCTGGGATCACCACAATCAAATTGGGTGATTGGTGGGCTCTTACTTGCTATGGGATATCTGTTTTCTTCATTCTGGTATATTATTCAGGTAAAACTAGTTCCCAGCCCGTGTCCTCTAGAAAACTGTTCAATTATATGTATTTCTTTATTTAATTACTGTGTCACGCTCAAAGCTAGGATTTAGAGATAATAACGTCAGGAGAGGAGTCCCATAAGTATATAAGGCTATAGATATTTTATTGAACCCAAAAAACAAAATCTCTAAAAATCTCTAAAATTATATTTTACAAAAACCTCAGGTCTCTAAGAATACATAAGATACAATTTAATCTAAAGATTCAAAATCCCAGCAACAACTTTACAAATAATACCGAAATACTCAAGTCATAATTAACTCATTTGACATGCGTCGGAATTGGAGTAAAGATCACAGTTAATGGCCCTTTTGAAGTTTTGAAAACTGTAATCTTAAAGACTTTTGGAGATTTTATTTTTAATTTGATATGATATATGTTATCTTGCATTTTTATATGATTCATTTCATAAATATGCAGTATTGTTATATCCTAAATCATAAGATTTGGGACGTGATAAATTATGTAATGCTTTGCAGTCACAAATTATGAAGATATATCCAGAAGAGATTATTGTAATTTTAATCTACAATTTGTCCTTGGTCATTTTTTTTGTACCATTATGCTTAATAGCAGAATCAAACAAGAGTTCCTGGAGACTAGGACCTAGCATAGTAGCTGCTTCTATCCTGTACTCGGTAAGGAATTAGTATCAACTACAATTTTAGATCAGATGGTTTCCGATCTCTTTAAAGGTTTTCTTTTTCTTTTCCTTACTTGTTTAGGGAATTTTTGCATTATCCTTCAGCAGTGCTGTACATTCATGGGGTGTACGCTTGAAAGGGGCTGTGTATGTTACAATATTCATGCCATTGTCAATTGTCATTGCAGCAATTATGAGTGCCATGTTCCTTGGTGATGCATTGTGTCTTGGAAGGTAATTAAAACTATCTATTTCAGTTTTTCTTTTTTTTTTTTGTATTTTATATTTGAAACTGTCAAGATTTGAGAAATTCTTATTATGAATCCAGTACTCTATCATTTAGACCACATGGCTGTTGGCATCTCTTTCAGTTTAATATTATTCCCAATTATAATAAGCAGAATCATCTCAAACATGGCCGCACATCCTATACCTAGGTTGGGCAATTTCCTTGTATAATCACAATTTGACAAGTCTGATTCAATCTTAATGTTGCAGTGTCATTGGAGCATTAATCTTATCTGCGGGGTTTTATGCTGTATTATGGGGAAAAGCAAAAGAAGAAGAAATGACTTATGATGATTCAGGCTCAAGTAGCTTTGGACCCTCGTCCAATTGTAATGTCTCTTTGTTGCAAAGCCACAATGATGAAGAAATGTAGCTCAAAATATTTATCCGAAAAACAATAGCTAGCTGTTTACTGTTTACTACGTTGTTCAACGTACTTTTCCCCTCATTTGAAGCTAAAACATCTAAGAATTGGTTAAATTAATGCATGAAGAAAAAATGGGAACCAAAAGGTTTCTTTGATCAAACAGTTGGGAATTTAGCTTGTTTCTTTAGGTCCAGCCATTTCACTTTCATATATGGATTGACAATTACAGCTTGGCCCAAACAACGCCTTCTAGTTAAAAACTCAGTCGCACCTTCTAATGATAGAAGGGCCCTCCAATAATGAAGGATTAGGTAGGTTAGAAGTTGTTTATTGTATGTTCCCGGGATACGTGTCCTTTCTTAATTGTTTTTCTTATAAAAATATCACATATGTTTAATTTCATGGCTGTCAAGTTCAGCACAACCTTTCTATTCAAGCTAATTTTATAATTGTCACATGATACTGTTTGTCTTGCCTACATCATTTGCTTTGGTTTAATTTTGATGATTGAAATAAAATTATAACCAACCAAGCATTTTGAAATGATAATGTGTTTGAGCAAAACCATGTGTAGTCCAATAACGTGATTAAATATAATCATCCGCTATTTACCACCATCCTTTATTAAAAGCAAATTGATGATTTTGTTGGTAGATTTGATTCTATAATAAAGATTCTCTTTTCCTCTCGTCCTTGAGTTTTTACAACCAAGGTAGGGGAGGAGGGGTAGTAAGTATACAGAAAAAATGAGTTTTGTTGTTTTAAACTTATTTCTTTATGTTAGGTACTTAGGCCACGTCATTACCATTTTGCCATATCAATATTTTTTTAACATTCAACAAAACCCCACTTCTTCAACTTCAATGTAAAAGCTTCACTTTTTTTCTTACCAAAAAATCGTAAAAGCTTTACTCTTTTCTTTCAACTACAAACTACAAAGAATCTCAAATCCCAGCTTTTAAGCTCTCTTCTTTTATCTCCAAGAAGCCCGATGCCAAGGAAGCAAGAATGAGCCCTCCTATATATCTCCCTTATTGGCCTCTTCTTTTGAATTGAATTAAAACCCGCTCTAACACTTTGTAGTATGAGAGTTTTTTCAGTTTCTGATGGGAGAAAATTGCGGCAACTTCAGTGCCTGGAGGTTCAAGATGGGTTGAATCAAAGGTTGTTTCAAGAGAGTTTTCTTGATAATATGAGCAATCCAGACAGTATATCGACTGGAAGTGGTAGTGATGTGTGGCACTCAGTAGGGTATGAGTCTTAGTGTGGAAGGCAAACCTTTGCTGCATAATGTACTCACAAATATATGGAAGCACCATCTATGAGGTACTTACAAAATATGAGACATGATTAGAGAAAAGCCAATATTTTTGCGTTTCGCTTATAAATTTTTATGAACTTAAACAACCCATATGCTTAAAAATACATAATCTTGTATGCGATTCGTTATTGCTCTTGTGCTAAAGGAATTTGGCAACAACTAGTTTTTTCCTTTGAAAAATAAAAAAAAAATGAAGCCACAATGATGCCAGATTGGTTAAAACAGAGTGGCCAAAGTCTAAGCTTGCCAACTTTTTCATGATAACTATTTAGACTATCTAGAAGGAACATTGCAAGACTCTTTCAGCTTCATTGGAACTATCAAACAAACTATGCCCAGGTTTAATAAAAAGCTGGTATGCAGAGAAAAACAAAAAACTGGTATGCAAGTAAAAGTAATCACATAAAAGTGGATGCCTCCTCCCTACGATTATTACAATGTTAATTTTGTTGGTGCTCTGGATACAAATAGTAAAACAAGTGGTATGAGAGATGCGATTAGGGATTATGATGGTGAAGTAATTTGGAGTTGGTGTGTTCAGACTAAACAATGTCACAGTTGGTTGATTAGTGGAATCAATAGCTGCAGGGGATGTGTAATGAAGAGGATAGGTTATGGTTAGAACTGTTAAGAATAATGATTCAAATATCATAAGAGATTTATTTGAGATTTATTTGAGATTTGTTAGATATTACTTGATAGACAAGAAGACTTGCAGAAAAAGAATTCTAAAAAAAAAAGATTCTTAATAGGCAAGTTTGTATGGTTATAAAAAGGTAAAGTCTCTGCAAAGTTATGTCTGAGAAAAAGATGTAAGAGAGTTGTAAAGTTTTATGAGATAGATATCCCATAAGACTACTATGGATTTATGTTTTATGGATGTGTATATTTTTTGTGAGTAGATTAGAGGAGATTGAGATGGTACACATAGATATGATGTATAGGTGTATATGGGTATGTGTTTGATTGTATTGAAAAGGTGCACATGGGTATATATTTGTTCAGGTTGAGAATACTTCATAGGACTAGAAAAGATTGAGAGGGTCTATGGGTATTGATTGTTAAGTGGTTGATATGTTTTGATGTATGTTTATATTTCTCTACAATTAGTGGATATTGTTTCTCATCATAGATGTAGGTCGGTTGGATCGAACCACGTTAAATTATTGTCTCTTGTGTGTCTGATTCATTGTTTGATTATGTTTTCACTAATGTGAATTAGATTGGAGTTTTTGGCTTAACAAGTGGTATCAGAGCTGTGGTGATCCCTAACAAGTGGTATTAAAGAATGGTTCAAGATATAGGAAGAGACAAGCTTAGAGGAGCTTGATTCAAGGAAGAAGTTTGAGTTTATATTTTGAGGATCGATTTATGTGAAGTGTAAAGACACACAAGAAAAGATGATTGTGAGACTTTCATTGTAGATGGAGTTAAGCATGTCTAGCATGAAGACAGATGATTGATAAAATTTGAGTTAAGGTGGAGATTGTTAGGAATAATGACTCAAATCCCATAAGATATTTATTTAGGATTTGTTAGATATTACTTGATGGACAAAAAGACTTGTAGAAAAAGAATTTTAAAAAGAAAAGGTTTCTTAATAAGCAAGTTTGTATGGTTATTAATAAGTAAAGTCTCTTTAAGGTTAGGTATGAAAAAAAGATATAAAAAAGTTGTAAGATTTTGTAGGATAGCCATCCTATAAAACTACTGAAAATTTATGTCTTATGAGTGTGTATGTTTGTTTATGAATGGACTAGAGAAAATTGAAATGGTCCACATAGGTATGATGTACAGGTGTATATGGGTATGTGTTTGATTGTGCTGAAAAGGTGCACATGGGTATATGTTTGTTCAAGTTTAGAATACTCCATAAGACTAGAGGAGATTGAGAGGGTCTATGGGTATTGATTGTTAAGTGATTGATATGTTTTGATGTATATTTGTAATTCTCTACAAATAGTTAAATTTTATTTCTCATCCGTAAACGTAGGTCGATTAGACGTTAAATTATTATCTCTCGTCTGTTTGATTTATTGTTTGATTATGTTTTCACTGATGTGAATTAGATTGAGGTTTTTGGCCTAACAAGTGATATTAAGCTGTGGTGATCCCTAACAAGAACAATGTCCTATTTTCATCTTTCATATCACTCATGCTGAGCATAACTTTGATGTTTAAATGAAATGCTATTATTTTTTTAGAAAAAAAAAACCTTATTAAGGTTTATCTTCTTGCCAACAGGATGTGGATATTTTCTAGCAAGCCAAATCCAAACCGTATTGGTTTGATTGTGACTTTGAAGAAAAAATGTAGTTGCAAAGAAGAGAGAAGAGAGAAAATTGAAGAAAGAAGATGTTGACATGGAATAGAAGGCTGACATAGATGTTATTCAAATGAAAATATCTTTATTTTGGAACAAAGCTCAAAAGTATTCTATTTCAAGAATTAAGATTAAAAAATATCTTGAGTTAAAAAAAAACTCCAAAAAATATAAGTACAGACAAACTATTTCATGATATGTTACATAGAGAAAAGGCAGATGGCAAGAAGGTATGGCTACAAGGAAGTCCTACCATGCATGGCCATGGTTGCAGTAGAGTTTTCCAATGTAGTCTCAAGCATTCTATTCAAAGTTGCTTCTTTGAAAAGGATGAACTACTTCATATTCATTACATATTGTTATGTTTTTGGGCACCCTTATTTTCTTTCTTTTAGCCTTCCTCTTCAATAGGTTTTTTGCTCATTTCATTCTTCTAATAATCATAAAATAAATGTACATTTTCTAATATTTTCATTTAAAGCTTTTGCTTTAAGAAATCTTCATTTTTTTTATCTGATGTACGTAAAAAAATAATGAAGTTCCCTCTTATCTTTAGAATTTATCTTTTTAGGCTTTTTGGGTATGGAAGTACTTCTTAATGCACATAGATTTGTGAATTTTTATTTCTTCATAAATTTATTTGAAATAATATTATTTTTCTAGTGGTCGACAAAGATTACAAAATAATTAAGAAAAAAAAAACCCAAGTATGCATATATAAAGGTTTAGAATTTGGCTTCCCAGCTCTTGCTTTAACCATTGATAACTTGATACCAACTTTTACCTTCATACTTGCTTTCTTCTTTATGATCATTCTTTCCCTAGTTTTTGTTGGGAATAATGACTTAAATCCCATAAGAGATTTGTTTAAAGATTAGTCAAATATTGCTTGATGGATAAGAAGACTTACAAAAGAAGAATTCTAAGAGAAAAAGAATTCTTAATAGGTAAGTTTAACATGCAGAAAAAAAATTTTAAGAGAAAAAGAATTCTTAATAGGCAAGTTTGTATGGTTATAAATAGGTGAAGTGTTTATAGGGTTAGGTATGAGAAAAAAAATATAAAAGAATTGTAGGGTTTTATGAGTAGATACCCCATAAGACTATTGAAGATTTACGTCTTATAGGTATATATGTTTGTTTATGAGTAGACTAGAGGAGATTGAGAGGATCTATGGGTATTGATTATTAAGTGGTTGATATGATTGGATGTATGTTTATAATTCTTTACAACTAGTAAATTTTATTTCTCATCCATAGATGTAGGTCAGTTAGACCAAACCACGTTAAATTATTGTCTCTTATATGTTTGATTCATTGTTTGATTAAGCTTCTGCTAACGTGAATAAGATTAAGGCTTTTA